CCCCAAAACCCCAAAACCCCAAAACCCCAAAACCCCAAAACCCCTTTAACCAAACATTCAGTTGAAATAATATCAATTGTACTACTATCTAAATGTCTGATGAATTATAGGCATCATTGGTCATCTCCTAAGCCTTGCTATAAGGACTAGCTACTGCACCATTTGAGTCCTTAGCAGGGTTACTCAGATCTGATTTAGACAAAGAGCTCTTCTCAAGGAATCTAGTTGGCTGTAAATACTCTCCCTCCATTGATTTTGACCTCGAGTCTCAATTTTCTTCACTTTCGATCCTGGACAATTTAAGCTCTTGGGATTCCTTCTTAATGCAACTAAGAGAGGTATCGGAGTTAGTATCATAATCCTCGCTTTCGCCCTCTTTGATGTCCTCCACCGTCAAAAGAGTGTCCTTCATGTTGAATTGCGAGAGGTTGTACTCTTCAATATCATCATTGATGGACATTTCCTCAGACTCATTTATCTGCTCGAGTTCGCTGGTTTTATGATATTTAAAGTTAATCCTTCCATCGTTTTCTGGGCCAGAAGACTTCCTTAGGCTGAAAGCCATCTTTGAAGAAGGCAACTCAGAACACGTCTCAGAATACAGCATCAGGCCTTGAGTGAAGGCAACCTTGTAGTCTTGTTCAGTCCGATGAAAAGTCAGATGAGGTCAAATTTCTCCATAAATGGTCAGCTCATAGTACTCATTTTCTGACTTGTCAAGCTTATGTTTTAGTTCATAAAGCCTGTAAGCCTTATCTTCACTGCTAATGTCACAACTTGTCTCTTCAATGATGTACAACAAATTTTCCTCCTCTCTGTAAAAAGTGTAGGAAATTTCCTCAGAAACACAAATGTCACGAGAGGATTGGTAATCAATACTAATTTCGTTCTGAGTTATAGAAGGGACTTCTGGCCCATTGATACCAACAATGCCCAGATCCCAATTCTTCCTGTGCTTTGGCTTACAGAGAGCAAATGCTAGGTCATCTGGATGCTTCATGAAGTTGGTTGTTCACTTATAGATAGAACTAATTATCATTGGCTCAGCGGACGTTGTAACGATTTCGTTTTCTTCTCTCGTATACACAAAATATCCAAGAACTCCTAGAGATAATAGAAGCAATGGGAAGTTCCCATAGCATGCTAGAAGGATCAGTCCTGCAAGGATCTGCAAGTCCTGTGTCTTATAGCTTGGCACCTGCTTCTCTACTTTTGGAGGGTTTTTAGAAATATCGATTTCTTTGGGAGTCTTTGAAGAATAAATAAAAGATCTATTTGTCACCTCTTCTAAGTTCCAGTCCTTAAAGTCCAAATACTTATCTCTGAGTTGGCTCATTACTTTTCTCTTTGACTCGCTTAAGGTATTCTCATATAATTTTGAGAAAACTTGTTGGTTTTTCCTAATTTCCTCTTTTCTTGCAATCTGAGCTTCTAGCTCTTTTTCTTGATGAATAAGATAAGCTCAATTTTGAGCAATAGATCCAGCAGAGTTAGCATCAATGAAGTTAACTTTGTCAGTATTTGTAGAGCTATCGAATAGCTCTTTGGCCATTGTTGAAACCTCAGCTTCCTTCATGATTATTACTTCGGTCATCAAATCAACCTCTGAAGTTGCAATCTTTGGAGTTCAGAACCCAGAGCTTTTATACTCTTTTCTCTCAGTACAGGTTGCACTATCCAAATACTTCTTTTGCTCTGTTCCAATATCTACCTCTCTTGTGGTCTTCTGCTGCGTGGCTGTTGAAATATCTTTGGTTTCTTTATCATCAGTCACAACCATTGCTTCTCTGAATTCTTTGACTTCTGTAGCAGTATCTACCTCAGCGGTTAGCTTAGGAACCGTCTCCATTGAAGCATCCTGTGTGTCTTGGAAATGCTGAGTTCCAAAATCAGCCTTAACTGGCTATAGATATACTAAAATTTCATACCTTTTTGCTGATAGTTGAGTGAGATACCTCTTCCATTAGAGTAAATCTGCCAATCTTCTCTTCCTCATCGATCCCTGGAATGCCTGTAAATGAGTCATCATCAGAGGGGGTCTTTTTTGGTTTGGGATTCTTTGCCTCTTCAACTGCGTCAAACCATTTTTGGCATTTCTCCTTGGTTTCATAAAATATCTCCAATGACTTGTTGTTCTGAGAGAATCTGATCTTCCATCTATCCTTAACTAGAGGGCTTAGTACGAGTTCTTACCTTGCTCCATCTTTCAAGTGCACTTATCTAGCATAATTACTCTAATCTTGTTGTCAGACGGAATTAGAAAAGCTGATTTTGTTTCCTGGTAGTTCTTCTTAGACTGAATCACAAAATCATTAAACTTCTCTTTGCATAAATCTGATGTTTTTATCTCCTTCGAGTAAATCAACAAGTTTTGCCAGATTGCAACATCTTTACGGCGCTTCATTAAGTCACGCTTGACGCTGAGACTGTCCCTGAGAGAGCATACTTCTTCTGAAAAAAATTATTACGTCATTTTAAGACAAAACAAAAGGAAAAAAGAGTTCGAGGAATCTAAAGAAAGGTTCAGCGTTGTTTACACTAACCCTCAAGTCCAAATAGCCTGCATGTCAAGAATGCATCCTTGACTTTATTTAAACAGCATGATTCAGGGATATATTACCTTTGTCCATATTAGCCAGTAATTAAAATTATGTAATCTGGTTTTACTAGTATAAAAAGGGGTTTTGGGGTTTTGGGGTTTTGGGGTTTTGGGG